CTACGTACTGTTGTCTTCATTTTTCTCCTTCTGCTATTTGCTACTCCCAAGAAAGACAAACGAGTTGGATTCCCAGAGGAATCCAGTTGGCAAACTGTAGCCTTATCAAGGCATTCTAGAGAAAGGGAGATTACTTGGGGGTGGGGGAGTGCATAGATGCATATGCCCAGCTCAGCTGTCCCTTCAAGGCTTGGATGGTTGACAGAGAAATCCTGATTGTCATCCTGTGGCATTCTCTGCCTTGATGACTGTTCTGTCCCAGCTGTCTGTAACTTGACCCTAGTTGGATTGCAAAAGGTATTTCTACTCCTGCACAAATCTCATTTGCTTAGTCTACCTGAATCCCATGCTGGCTCCTAGGAGGCTCCCAGTTCTATTAGGTAGAGAATCACAGTTCAGTCATGTCACAAGGCATTTGATTTGACCTTGTTTTTGAGCATTGCGCAAACCAAACCTTGTTGTTTGTAAATGGTTGTTTTTCCCTGAGATACTAAATGAATCTAGTCTCAATACTGTAGTTGATTCAATAATCCCAATTGTTGCTTACTGCATTGTGTCAACTCAACCAATGACTTGCCAAAAGTACATCTATTAAATATTGTGATGAAATCATAAATTTGGGGAACTGTTTCCCAAGTTCAAGTCTAGAGGCAGTTCTGCACTACTGTTGTCCTGTGCTGATGCCAGCTGAACTCTAAGCTAATTTGAAGAAATTCTATGCAGGTTGGGACACTTCAGCAGCAACTTGTCAGGAATTCAGATTGGACTGCTGGCTGCTCTGCACACTCTCTCCCCAGACAGTTCCCCTGTTGCTGTGCCCTCCCAGCTTCCCATGCCAGGAAAGCCATTGCCAATTGCTTTATTTTCCATGGAGGGGGAGGGGAAAAGCAAACAAAAGCTGCAAGAAGGGCAAGAAAGAAACTATTATTTTACCAAGTCCCTGTATAGGTGTGCTTTCTGATACTTTAACTTTGAAAATAGTTTTTCAAAAAATTATATAATTAAACAGAAGCAAAAAGTTGTTTTGAAAATGGGGGGAAAGAAAGTTACACTGGTAAGAGTAGCATGGAGATCCAAAATGGTGCCCCAGCATTCCTGCCACTACGCATAGCAACCAATAAAAATGCAAGGGATTGCTTAGAAGAAATGAAAGTGGAGCAAGCAACCTGGGCCTCATCAGTCCAACAGGCACTAGCCAGAAAAAAACCATGTTTAATGTGTAGCCAGGAAACACCAAGAGGAGTTGCATTTGAAGATGATATCATCTGTTTCTACTCTCCAGAAATGGTGGGTGGATAGGTGGCCTATGGTTATGACAGGACAACATGGCTGTACAAATGCTGTGTGCCCTTGTGGCTGCCTCACATGCCCTGCCTTTGCTGTTCTTCCAATTCTCCCTGCTGAAATATCAACACAATACAATGGTTTAGAACAATAAATTTCAACGTTGGTGACTTTTAAGATGTGTGGATTTCAATTCGTAAATTTCCTAACCAGCATGACTGGCTGGGCAATTCTAGGAATTGAAGTCTAAACATCATAAAGTTGCCAAGATTGTGAAATGTTAGTTTAGAAGCTATTGCTGTACAGTAGAATCTCTGGTCATGAATGCTTCTGACCACAACCAAATTGGGTTCTGCCCAAAAATTCATGATTTTTTTTTTTTTTTGCAGCCAATTTCTCCTTCTGCACCATTTTTTTTTGTAAGTGCCAAATTTCCAAAATTAGGTTCGGGTCACGACCAAATCTGTTTGCGACCAAAGTTATGGAACAAATTATGGTCATGACCAGAGGTTCTACTGTATATGTATCCATTGCACTGAAAGCCAGTGGTTTAAATAGATGATGATCCTGTCCTACATATGTGACTGGTGGCAGCAGAAGAGAGTTTGATTTGCTGCCTCCAAATAAGAACTTCACCATGTGCTTAATCCCATGTTGGAACCAATTTGAGCCATGTTGAGAATCTACGAATAGCCCTAATTTATCTGAAGAACCCAAAGTTGGGGAAATCTCAGCAGTAGCCTTTTCATAAAAAACCCTGTTAATGTGCTGATGATTCAAAATGCAATACTATTCCTCATTATATTGGGCTATAAATCCAATCAAAAACAAAAATGTCAAAATTAATCAGACTCTGAGCTACACGATCCTTTTTAAGTGTGGTTCAATGATTAGAGAAATGTGTTCTTAGCAACATTAGCCAAAACAGTATGGCTCCAAATACCCAGTAGAATACCGATTGACAAATGACGCGTTTCAACTTCTGTTTGTATTGGGGGGGGGGGGGGGAATGGGCAGTCGGTTTGGGGGTGGCTGCTTTACAAGACCAGGCTTCCCAAAACTCCTACTCTTGATTGCTAACTGTGATAAGAGCCGTACAGAAATTGATCTCAGGTGTGGTAGCTAGCATATCCCTCAGACTAGGATGGAGATTCTTTGTGCCAAGAGCCCCAGAGGTGGGATAAGTGACACCCATTCCAAGGTTCCTGAGCAGAAAGAGCCACGAGGCACCTTGGCTCATACCTCAAGGTTTATCTGCTTGGTTTCACATTCCACTTCCTTCTGTGTGGCAAGCAGAATTCATCAGCCCTTCCCAGGGAACCTGATGACAGTAGAAAGAAGAAGTAGGGAGGGGGGATGGAGGCTGAGGTAGCAGCAGTTGGTTCTCTGCAGCCATTTCAGTTCAGAGATGTTGCAGTGGCTTTGAAGAACATAATCCTTCTCCCTTCAATGTTCTGAGCATCTCCATTGCTGATGCTCAGAAACCTTCTTAATGTTAAGCACACTTTCCCTGTCCTCTCCATTTCTCTTCAGCCAAATCCCCCTGACAAGAATGTCATAAGATCATTCTCAAGGTAGCTGCTGATGGAAGAGGAGCGTTGCATGGTAAAGCCTATGCTCTATGGCAGCATTTCTCAGCCTTGGCAAATTGCAAAGTATGTGGACTTCAACTCCTTCTGGGAGTTGAAGTCCACACATCTTCCAGTTCCCAAGGTTGAGAGGCACAGGTCTGCTCTATGAGAAGGGTGTCTTCAAAGTGAAAAAAGCTTTTTCTGATATAAGTGTAATAATGCTTGGGATAGCCAATTAATTATAAAACAAAAATACATTTCATGAGGGTTGTTTATGCATAGCATGTTGGGCAAGCCTTATTTGACAAATCATGGATTTTTAAAAAATGGCTTAGCACAAGATGTGAACCGGGACAAAGACTATAAAACCACCATCATTTCAGCAGCAAATTTTCCTTCTATCATTCTTATTTCTTTCCCCGTGGTTGTGTTAGCTTCCCACCTACCTAATTTTGTTTTCAATGCATCCAACCACTTGTTTGTTCCTTTTTTTAAAAATGTGATTTGGAATTGTGGGTAGGCTTCTTGGCAATATTATGGCTCCACTCAAGCAATACACTTAATTAGATTACTAAATAAGGCCATGTTCTTGGTTTGTACATACAATCCCTTGAATCATGTTCAAGATTCAGTGCCAATAGAAAGCTAATCAAGGAGGAAACAAATTGCAGCGTGTTAGGCTTGTATCTGATCTAGCTAACTTGAACATAACCAGTGGATGTTAACCAATGGGAATCAATTAGAACTACTTTTTCCCACAAATCTAAGTAAATCAAAACTGTAATTTTTTAATTCCTTTGCAACTGCATTCAGGGAAGGAGGCGAACTTAAGTTGCAGAAGTGCTTGTCCTCTGATCCAGGTTTAGATAGTAGATGGGTCTCAACAGAAGGAATAGGACAAAAATGAGTAAACTACAATATAACATAGAGAGAGAGATTTACTTTAAAGTTCCGAAGGAAAATCCTGCTTAAGTAGGGTGTTGGACTAGAAAACATCCAAGGTCCTTTCTCAGTCTGCTATGCTTATTCTGTATTCTAAAACTCTTATATGTATTATTTATTAGCAAAATGTCCGTAATGGCTACAGGTGGTGCATACTTGGGAGGAAGGTCCTGTGAGTTGCAAGAACATTGTTGGATATATTTCATATCCTTGTAGACACTGTCTCGCTGTGTATCCCCACCCCCCACCCTATCCCACGGCAGGGCAGCATTTTACATTTCTCAGAGCAAGGAATACTGCTGGGTGTTCCTTCCTACAGGAGGAATTTAGCCTAGACAGGGACTATATCTGTCTCCTTACTGGGGATCAGCCAGGCCCCCAAGAATTAGGCCAATTTTGTATTTATATGGATCCATATCTTATTCTTGTCATAAAAGAGAATACTTTAATAAAATGTAAGGGCTAGAATTGTTCTCAATACATGACAGCTAATACTAATAGTTCTGGAAAGCACCAAACTGGGAAAGTACATGTGTGTTGTTTTCTTTTCCCCTTTCTGAGGAGTCTTTGGTGCTCTCTGAGCTTGGTTGTTTTCTTCCAGATGTTTCATTACTAAATTAGGTAACATCATCAGTCCTAGTAAGTTCACATTAAATGGCCTGACCAAAGAACCTTCCAAAACAACTCCCATCCACACTGAGAGGGCAAGCCACTAGAATTTAAATTGAGAGCAAACCCCAGACCTTACCAGCATTGATGATGTTAGCTAGTTTGGTATTTTATGTTTACAGCATTGTTTACATTTTTCTATGCATTGCCCTGTGATGTTTATATGATATCATTAGAGATTATTAACATTGTATTATTTACTGGCATATAGAGAAAGGGAAAATATATCAGTGTTAATTATCATTTACGATTCAGTATTACAAGCATAAAATTATTTGGTTTTTTTCCATCCAAATGTAAACATAACACTAAAAAAGAAATGCAACTCGTATCAAATTATTAAATAGATGCTAATGGTTTCAGTCTTAAGCTAATTACTTAATATTAAAATCTCCATTGAATTGTTACTCTGTGGTGTGTGTGTGTGTGTGTGTGTGTGTGTTTATATGCTGTTAAAAAAAAAGATAAAGCAAATTTAAAATTATAATAAGTAACAAAGAAAGGAAAAAATAAAAATTTGTCCTGTTTCTGTAGCCTCCATCCCATTCTTCATCTGTGAATTCGGCCTCGTTTCTCCAGTGCGTCGTGGCTTCTTCTGCAATGACAGTAGCATCAGCTACCCCCTGCAGCATCCTGAGACCATCACTGACACAATGCTCATTTCAGCAGGCACCCTGATCTCCTTCCTAGCAGTGAGTCAGGAGGGAGGCAAGGGGAAAGGAATGCTAGGCCTTTTTCTACGGCTAGTGACTACGGAATTCCCATAGCCAAATGATCAAAGAATGAATTGTGTAATTGAACACATTTCCTTCACCAAGATCTAAGCATAATGGCCTCTAGAGGTTTTCAAGAAGAGATTGGACGTCCATATGTCTGGAATAATATAGGGTCTCCTGCTTGAGCAGGAGGTTGGACTAAAAGATCTCCAAGGTCCCTTCCAACCCTATTATTCTATGTTTATTAATATTATTTATTTATTATTATTTATTTATTTTATTATTCATATTTCTATGCCGCCCACTCTCTGAGGATTCTGGGCGGCTTACACCAAAGACAGTAAACTAAATAGCATATTGCCCCCAACAGTCTGGGTCCTCATTTTACCCACCTCGGAAGGAGGGAAGGCTGAGTCAACCTTGAGCCGGTGAGATTTGATCCGCTGATCTGCTGAACTAGCAGTCAGCTGAAGTAGCTGCAGTACTGCACTCTAACCACTGCGCCACCTCGGCTCTCTGGTCTAAGGGTCTTTATACCAATGTTCCCTACTTTTTTCATTAAACATGGGCCCCCCTGTTCTCTTTCCTAGTGCATATCCCATATCCCGTTACTTAAGAAACATTTATTCTCCTATCTCTACTCCCAAATTTCAGAATTGCTTATAGACCAACATCTCTGTTCTTTCTTGCAGATCACTGTAGGCGAAATCTTTCATGTGCATCATCTGCCTTGTAGATCACGCTCTACAATCTCCAATCCTTATGTGGCTGCCCTCTATAAAGAAATTGGGGCCTTCCTTTTTGGATGCTGTGTGGGTCAGTCACTCACTAACGTGGCAAAAGTTGCTGTAGGTCGCCTCCGTCCATATTTTCTGGCTGTCTGTCAACCTAATTTAACTCACATTGTCTGCTCTGCTGGATACCTGGAGGACTATGTTTGCACTGGTAGCCGCTCTAAGGAAAAGGAGGCCAGGTATGTATCATGACAGTCTCTTGAAGCCCAGCCCCCCAATGGCATATAGACAGTGATTCAAAGAAAAGTGATAGTGTGTAGATATTTTTTATTTCTGTTATTTCACATGCAACATAGTCAAATTGCTTATGAAAAAGGACTGAATCTTTGTTTCCCATTTTCCTTCTGATGCTGCATGCAGCAACTTGCCTTGATCTGATGGCCTCCAGCTAAGTTAGTTTACAACCCAGGCAGTGGGACACACTAGCCAGAAAAGATAAGAATTGTGTAAATCTAGCTCAAAGGTGTGCAAAGTGAGAGCCACCTGCAGGTCCCAAGTACCTTTTAGTAGGCCCTGGAGCCACCAAAAAGTTCCCCAACAGAAACAAAAATATCTATTAATGTGTGCAATGGTATGAACTGCAGCCTCAAAAGCTTTTAAAAAGCATGACTATTAGCCACAAAAATGTGTCCATGCTTGATCTGGACTGTGAAGGAGAACAAATAGGCTCCAACTTCCAAACAGATGTCAAGAAGTAGTCTAACTGTATCAGGCATCAGTGCTAGGTATGAACCTGAATTCAATTTACTCGCTTCTGCCACTCAGGTTGCAGGTTCATCTCTCAAGTTAGAATAGGTATGGAGGGTCCCATTAGCTTTTATCGTTTTATCACAGACCATAAGAAAGAAATCTCAAAATTGAGAAAGTGAAGCCAAAGTAAGAGCCTTGATAGTACAGGGGTTTAGTGCACCCTGTTATTAACACAGCTGCCTGCAATTTCTGCTGGTTCGAATCTCTCCAAGGCTCAAGGTTGACTCAGCCTTCCATCCTTTCTAAGGTAGGTGAAATGAGGACCCAGTTTGTGGGGGCAATAAGCTGACTTTGTATAAAATATACAAAAGAATGAAGGCTATTGCTTAACGCTTTCTAAACCCAAGAAAGAGAACTATTTTGGTCTAATAAATAGGAGTTTAAAAAAAAAAAGCTTGCCCACAAGGAACATTAGAAGTGAAATATAAGAGAGGCAGCCATTTTCTTGCCCCATTGGCAAGTTTTGTTCAATCAGACTATTGAATTGGATGGACAGTCTCAAGGAGTGGCAAAATGTTTGTCCATATCCATGGAGAAGGATGTAAGTGGTATATCCCTTGCAAGGGAGTAGATAGAAAAATCTAGGATTTCTCATCCTGCCATACTCAGTCCTGCAAGCTCCAGCCAACAGGGTAGAAGGCAATTCTTATGGCATCCAAGGTTTGCATTATCTTTGGGGAGTAGGAAATCTCCTTTTTCCTTTGTTTTACCATTATATGTTTCTCCTTCTACATTCAATCTACTCCTCTGTCATTTCCATTCATGTCTTCTGGTTCTTCCTGCTGAAACACACTTCCGCAAATATGTTTCATGTAAGTTCTGGAGAGTATCTGGACTGAGGAGATATAAGATATAAGGAATGATGATGAGCAGTTAATCCAGTCAGAACTTGAGGGAATGGTGGGGAGGTCTATGCAGTTCAGTCTGTCATTATCCCACCCTCAAAGGAAGAATGGGATCAGATTTCATTTTAGAACAGGCAAAACATATGCAGAATCTGTTTTCTACCTGCATCTTACCTCTTTCCAACTTCTCTGTTCTATCCCTGTCTGGCTTTATCTCTGATTTGAATAGGTTTTCTGTCAGCTTAATCATGATGGTAGTCATGAGTAGTGGAGACAGAATGCTTTTAAAAAAAAACAGGACTGATAAATAAAATGGATCAAGTGAGGCTTCTGTTAGAGAACAATGAATTTATTGTATTGCAGTCTTATTATTAGCTTGACCCAAAAGCTACGGTCAAAACCGGCCTTAGCCTTCACTGGGTATCAAACCTTTCAAGGCTGACAAACTGAAGAATCTCTTGGATTTCTGGAAAAACCTTTATTGTTAGAGAGGTAATGTATCAAATTCTCAGAAGTCTATCAAATCACTTCTCTAGATCAACTTAAACCTAGCATAATTAAGATGGAGTTACTCTCTTTCTCATATTTCCCCCTTTCTCGGTATGTTCCCAGGGACTGTTAGACATTCCAACACACTAAAGCTATCCTATCTGGACTACAGAAATCTGTACAAATAGTCTTTTCTCTGTATAATCAAATTAATCTGTTCTCCAAACTTTCAGCTCAATGAAAATTTATGGGCAGGTAAGTCTCTCTAAAATAATGGATTTTAATGAAATGGTTAACTGCGTTGAGTCCTGGGGTACTTATGATTAATGTTGGTGGAATTGGAGCCTTACAGGATAGCCATCAAACCATGAAAAGGACATCAGAAGGAAATAGTTTAGGGTAGTCAGAGTAAGGTTGTGTAATGATCAAATTTCATTTGTGGCTGGAGTCAGTATACCAAACTAAGCAGTACATTTTGTGTCCTCTTCAGAGAAATATCTTGTTTTCTCTTCCAGAAAATCCTTTTACTCTGGACATGCCTCCTTTGCCATGTATACCATGATGTACATAGTGGTAAGTTCCTCTCTTCAGATTTATAGGCGTGATGTTTGAGAAGAGGGCAGATCATCACCACACTACATGAACCACAAAAAAAAAAAAAAGGAGACTCATGCAGGCAGCAGCCCTATGTGGTAGCTGCTTAAGCATAACCCAGTAGAGGAAAAGCCTTGTGACATGGGTGGAGGTGCTCTCTTCAAAATTATTAATTAAAACAAACACCCTCAAGGTTTATACTGGTGTGCAAAATACAATTGGAAGATACATCATATGAAGAGTTTGCTTTATGGAGTAATCTGCAGAGCTTGTTTCGTTTTTGCCTATGTAAATGGCAGTCTTCATAGCAACACAAGCCTTCTAGATAGCAGAAAATTCTAGAGACTAGTCGGAAAAAATGTTTGGTGCTGAGTTAGCAGGCATCCTGAAGTGTATTTTTGTCTGCCCTCTTCTTGCTTCAGATTCTGATTTTAGTTTCTGAACTTTCACTGTCTAAATACATTGAAAGCATAATTTCATTCCTCTTCCAGAAAAGCAGATAGATATTCTATGCTTTTTTTAAATAAGTGTTATTTTAAAAATAATAATACAAAATAAAAATTAACAACTAATATTTAGAATGATGGAGAAATGAAAGAAGAAAAGAGCAGAAACAACAGTGCAGTAATCAAAGGAAAGGAAAAAAAGAATTATAAAGAAGTGACCTGATATGAAACACAAAATAACCTTACTCTGTGTTTACAGCATTGTTTACATTTTTCTATATTACTTTTATTCTAATCTTCAGTACCATATAACATCATTTTTTTTCCTATTTCCCAAAAATAAAAGATTCCCAATCATCATTACATATAGACATTTAAATCTAAAGCAGTCAGTTTAGCCATCTCAACAAATTCCATCACCTTCACCATCCATTCCTTCGTTGTTGGTAAAATCGAATCTTTCCTCCTTTATGCATATATTAATTTTGCTTCCGTCATCATATATAAAAACAAGGTTCCATATTTTTTTTCCAGCTGCTTATCCTTCTATCCTAAAATAAAAGTCTCTGGCTTTAATTGTATATGAGTCTTTAAAATCGTCTGTATTATTATATCTAATTGAGTCCAAAATCTTCTGGCTTATTTTACCCATTCATCAAGAATGATAAAATGTCCTTCTTGTTGATTACATTTCCAGCATAAGTTTGAAGAGCTTGGAGATGGGTTTTCTAGATCAGGGGTCCCCAACCCTCAGTCCACGGACCAGGACTGGTCCACAGCCCATTGGGAACCGAACCGTGCAAGCTGCGGATGAGCCTACAAAGCTCAATTTGTGCAAGCGGCACATGCAAAACCATCCCCTACAGACCAGATCTATCCACAAACTTCCTCGATTTTAATATTCATCGTCTCTTCCCAGAAAACTTTGGAATTGAAATTTGGATGGAAAGCTAGGCATGCAGAACTTAATATTCCTCCTGAATTGCCATTTCCATTATGGAGAAAAAGAGCAGGCTACCTGATTTATTGTATGAATTTGCAGTATAAATGGAGAATGGGTTAAACATAATATGAAACAAAATAGTAGTATTATAGATTTATTTGAGTTTGGCCCATTTCAGTGAGCCCAGCCAATTGTAGTGAATTCATGTTCAAGTTGAAATGTGAGTTGCTTGTGGAAATGGATTAGACCACCACCCTTTTTCTAAAACTGAGAAAGGACTTTTTTCCTCCCAAAGAAACCGATTCGGATTCTAAACCCTTCATCTGAAGTGGATGGCACAGAGGTGCCCATTTGGGATGCCCCATCTCTGCTATTGGAAAAGAATCTTCCCAATAGGTCCAGCATACACTTTTCTAAAATCTGTCTCTGTCACTTTTGTCATCCTATGCAAGGGATCTACAAAATGTAGCACACTTGGGTAGGGAAGAGGGCAAGCATCTACTACTCTCCCTCTGTTCCCCTCACATCTGTGTTGCTCTCCATGTGTAGAAGGCAGTTATGAACAACTAATTTTCAAGGCAATATGAAATCTGGAAAAATTTTCAATTCTGCATAAATTGTCTAACTTTGCTTTTTAAGATGTTGCCATTAATCGTTTTTAAAGCTGGAAAATATAGAAGGTGAAAAGGGTTAAAGCTGTTGCTTTCATCCCTGCTTTCCTTTCTCATAATAGAATCTGAAAGATTTCTGATTGCCAGCATAAGGCATCAATTGGTTAATCTATTAAGATAAGCAAAAAACTCCATTTATTTGTGTTTCCATGCTGAATCTAGCCAGCCCCTTCCTTTAATTCTCCAATTTCTCTGGAGTATTGCTCTGAGATTGCTGGATCATTTGTCATTGCTTCTGCCACAGTGCAGATTGAAACAGATTGGAAATTTTTTTTCTGTGGAGCTACTGTTTGCTAAATACTCAGTTTCCAGGGTTTGTCCCCCAGTTCTACCTGCAGGCCCGATTCACCTGGCGAGGCGCTCGACTGCTACGGCCACTGGTCCAATTTGTGTTACTGATGCTAGCCCTGTACACGGGGCTGACTCGCATTTCAGACTATCAGCACCATCCATCTGATGTGATTGTGGGACTGCTGCAAGGAGCACTTGTAGCCTATTGGGTGGTAAGTTACAACCTGTGTTTGTTTGTCAGTCTTGTCTGGCCCTCTTTTGCCTCTCTGCCTGCCTTTCAGAAAGTGAGAAGGAGTTAGTTGATCAATATCTGATATTAATACCTGGGAAAATCCTAGAAAATATAATCAAGCAGCAGATTTGCAAGCACCTAGAAACTAGCAAAGCTATTACTAGAAGCTAACAGAAGTGTGTTAAAACAGATTATACTAGAGAAAACTTATTGCCTTCTTTGATAAAGTGACTTAATTAATGGATCAGGGAAATAATGTGAACATAGTTTACTTAAACTTCATTAAAGAATTTGGCAAAGTAGATCACAACCTACTCCTTGGTAAGGTAGAAAAATGTGGGATAGACACCATCACCACCAGATGGATTTTCAAATGGTTGATCAACCACACTCAACATGTAGTCTTCAATAATTACATCGAAATAGAAGGAAGCATGAGGTGGGGTACCTCAAACTTCTGTAATAGGCCCAAAACTCTTCAATATCTTCATAAATCATTTAGGATAGAAGAGGATAGAAGGAGAACTCATATAATTTGCAGACAACACTAAGCTGGGGATAATAGTCAACTTTGGAAGATAGACTCAAGATACGGATAGACTTGACAGATTTGAACACTGGGCCCTATCCAACAAAGAGCAATTCAGTGGTGGGAAAAGTAAGGACTTACACTTAAGAAGGAAAAACCAAATGCACAGGTATAGAATAGGTGGTACCAGGCTCAATAGTAGTGACTATGAGAGGAACCTATGTGTCCCAGTGGACAACCACCAAAAAAAGCCAATGTAGTCATAGACTGTATCAGTAGAGCGATAGTTTCAAGATCATGTGAAGGACTGATTTATGCTGCAATAGTAAGACTACACTTGGAATACTTTGTCCAGTTCTTGTCACCATGATATAAAAAAGTTGAAACTGTAGAAAAAATGGAGAGAAGAGCAACAAAGATAAGGAGTGTGGAGGCTAAACTGTATGATGAACAGTTGCAGGAACTAAGTATGTCTAGTCTATCAAAAGAAGGATTAGAAGTAACATGATAGCAGTCTCCCAATATTTGAGGGCCTGTCATAGAGAGGAGGGGGATAACCTATTCTTCAAAGCACCTGAGGGATAGGACAAGAAGTAATAGGTGGAAGGTTATTAAAGAGCGATCCAACCTAAAACTATGGAGAAATTTCCTGACAGTGAGGAGAATCACTCAGTAGAACAGCTTGCCTCCAGAGGTTGCAGATGTTCCTTCATTGGAGGTTTTCAAGATGTTCAACAACTATTTGTCCGGAATGGTATACAGTCATCTGCTCAAGTAGAGGGTTGGACTAGAAGACCTCCAGGGCCCCTTCCAACCCTGTTATTTTATGCTCTTTCTGTCATGCAGGAGGAGAGTGATCTAAAATTAATTGAAGTTATCTAGAAAGTTTGTTAGTACTTTTTTCTCTTATAGTTCTCAGAATTCACCATCGAACATGAGTCTTTAGGGAGTTGAATTTCATTTGTGTGGTGGAGAGCAATCCAACTTTGAAAGGCTGGTTTACCTGTTCCTCCCTTAACCTAAACTCTGTCCTTGTTTGTCCAGCATGTTTAATGGAGGTGGGGGGTGCAGGGAAGCATGTCATGCAAACAGCTAAGCCTAATCAGCATTGGATTTAAGAGGTTTAGTTTTTAAGCATCTTTAGGTCCTATGTCAGCTTTAATATCCAGACTGAGGCCTGCTGAGGGCCCTCTGATCTGGCTGTTGAAACAAAGTTGTAGAATAGTCCCCCACCCCAAAGGGGACTTCTATAGGAATGGTGTATTATGTTTCACACTCCCACAGTCAAAGAAAAGAAAAGGCAGGGAGTGACAGTCTTCCAGCCACTTCTGCAGCAACTGTGAGGATGGTGAAAATTGATCATTCCTATTTGACTAAACATTGTTGACTGTGCCACTGGAAAAGAAGAGGTGATCAGGTTAGCCGTATTGGGCAATAGGGACCCTGTATGGCGATGATGCTTAAGAACAACTTCCCTTAACTTCAACTGAGGCTATTGCCAAAATAAAGCAAGAGATAAGGGCTTCCAGAGTGGGTCAAGACAAGAAACAAATAATAGGCTATGATGGGTTGGGTATAATGGAAGGTGTAGGCCAGCTGATGTGGAAGTGAACAGATGGGGAAAGCTGTTCTCTAACCTCCATTGTTTTAAGTTCTTACCTACAGAGACTGGCCTTACTTATTTTAATTCTGTATTAAATTCTATAATATTCTATACTAGTTGATCGAAAATAAAATGAAATTCTGTGCAGATTGTGCAAGTTAAGTGTTATAATTTCCTTTTTTTGCATGATCTATTTTTCTTGAGAATCGAAGTGTTATAGGATATTAGACTAAGATCAGAAACACAGGATTAACTCTCTATTTGTCTGTGAAGCTATCTGGAAGAATTGGGGCCAATCATTTTTTTCCCCATCCTAATTCATCTTCCAGTGTTCTTGGACGCACTTGGTGAAGGAAAGACATATAAGAAAATCTTATCTCTAGACAAGGGTGTGCATCCATGGTAAAATAAAGGACAACAGCATGATAGTGATAATAAAAAAACAATATTGAAAATAGAGCTCCAATATATTAATGCCCTTAAATAAAAACAGTAAATGGTGCAACCACATCTAGAAATATATAGGAAGTTCAGAGGAGGGCAACTAAAATGATGAAGGGGATGGAGCAGTTTCCCTATGAGCAAAGGTTGCAAGTATTTGTGGCTTTGTAATCTAGAAAGGAAGCAACTAGGAGGGGACATGATTGGAGTTTAAAATTATGCATGGTTTGGAAAAAGAACACAAGTTTTCCCCATACTAGAACCAGAGGTCACCCAATTAAACTGAATCCTGAAAGATTTGGGACAGATAAAGGCAGGGGAATTACACTGCATGTATTTAAACTTTGATATTCATTACTACAAGATGTGGTGCCGATTACCAGTTTGGCTAGCTTCAAAAAAAATGTTGGACCAGTTAATGGGGATCAAAGGCTATTAGGCTCCAAAGCTGTGGGGTTGCCTCTGAAGGCCATCTGCTGGGAGACTCGTGGGCTTCTTTCTGCAGATGGTTGGCTGCTGTGAGAACAGGCTGCTGGCTGATCCAACAGGGCATCGCTTATGCTCTTACTTATACAAACCTATTTGATCAAGCAAGCTTGAAATTGTTTTACGTAAGGCTATTGGTATTTGGGTTACAAATATCATGACCACAAAACTAAAGCAAAGATTTTTAGAGAATTCTAAGCTTTTCCTGCCATCTTAATAGTTGCTGGATGTTTGCAGTCCAGATATGGCAACTCCTAATTTGCAGTTGAACTGATTCTTCAACCAATTGCTCTTCATGTGTTAGTTCTGCTCTCATAGGAAAGCCCACAGACATCCTTCTAGTTTGCAGGGTTGTGCAACAGATAATCCTTATTTTGCACCAGCTAATAAATACTTTTACGCACTAAATACAGAATTGCATGCTGATTGGGCAACTATATAGTACAGCAAAGGCTCATCCGGTTTTGTATCCTGTTTCAAAGGTCAGACATCTGTCTGGTGTTTCTAGACACTCAGAAGCTCAGCTCAAAGGCCACTGACCTATGTTCCCGTTTGCCCACCAGTGAATTCTCAGTCTGAAGGTTTCATTTGGCTACAGTATTATAGAAAAGTGCTATTGATGGGTCTGCTATTGACTTTTCTCACTTTTCGAGCTGTCAGTGGTAGTGGACATTGTGGCAGTGAATCTTTAACCAGGGTGGATAAAAATCAATGATTTTTTTAAAAAAAATCAAAAAAATCAGATTTTTTTTATTTAAATTGGATTTTTTTTTTATTTAAATCGGATTTTTTTGATTTTTATCGAATTTATTTTAATAAAAAACTTTTGGGGTAAAAATCTATCATAAGATAGTTTTCTATTTAAGATACATAAATAATTTAGTTTATTCAGCATGAAATGGAGCTTAGTTATGTAGCATGAGGCTGTATATTCTGCAACACTGGGACTATCGGTGAGTCAACAGTGGGTCAAAGGAGTAGCAGAGATGACAGTTGCTCTTTAAAAATTATGATTTAAATCGAGTTGATTTAAATCAAGTCTTTTTACTAGTGATTTAAATCATGATTTAAATTGTGATTTAAATCAACTCGATTTAAATCAAATCCACCCTGTCTTTAACTATTAAATATAAGGAAAAACAAGGTTCTTCTGCATGTCCTATTTGTAGTACCAATAACATTATTTGAGTATAACCTGCATGAGGTCTGCTCTAAACATTGTGAGAGAGGGACTGAATATTTAACCTATAGGTATCATTTCATAAAATTCAATCAAGCTCCCTCTTTTATTATCCATTTTTTCCCTCCGGCTCCAATATCCCCCCAATGCCTTCACTGTCCTTTGTAAGAGAGGTCCTCCAATTCTTTAAATTCTTTCACTTGCCCTTTTTCATTAGCCTTTTCCTGCTTTTTAAACCCCATAAGGATTCTGTTGCTGTGATGTGGAGGAAATTGATGAAGGTTAGCTCAGTTAGAAGGAACTGGTCTGGGAAGTGAGCAAAAACACAGGGCTTAGCACAAGCTGCCAGGAAACACACACCCTTGTAAGTATTGTCTGTAGACAGCCTGGAGGAACTCATTCCATTTCCTAGCCAGGTTGTGTGATTCCAGCCCCTCCCATCTGCCTCCAGCACAACAAAGGGAGCATAAGGCTGAGATGTGCTGAAATTCAGAAAATTATGTATGTTTTAGGAAGACACAAACTGAAAGCTAACTTATGGGAATTTGAAATTCATAACATTTTGATCAGTTTCTTCTATTTCTAATATTAATAGTCTAGCCAGTAAATCAGAAAATGGGTATATTTAATAGCTGTATTCGAAAGTTGGAAGGGGCCATTTTGGCCAGAAATTTAAACTGTAGACTCAGTGCAATAATAGTGGAGTTGGATGTTATCTCTTAACTGTGCTGACCTCCTTAGTAGTTACTGTTCAAAGTGGTTGGCTCCCTTATGCCATTTTTCTCATCTTTTCCTTTGCAGGCTTTCTATATTTCCAGCATGTTTCACTGCAAGCAGTAGCCTCATCCTGTGCCATCAAGCATCTTGGACAGTCCCAGCTCAGACCATCAGACAGATTGCTAGGAAAGACTCAAAGACAGGCAGAGGCTACTTCTGTTTTGTTAATTGCAGGACCTCAACCAACTGAGCCACTAGCTGGACATTCACTGCTAAACAAACTGCATTGGCAAAGTGGCACAGTCACGGCCAGCTTGAGGCTCCTTGGAAGCATTTGATCCCTGTTGTATCAACAGCCACTGCTACATCAATTTCTGGAAGCACCAGGAGGAACAGCAAATGGTGCACTGAAGATCTCCCCTTCCTCTGAGTGTTGTAGGGCAGCCTTGTTTTCATTGGGATGGGAAAACATTAGACCACTCTACGCTTGAGCCTCTCTCCTACTGGAAAACACCATGTCCACATCACTGTTCCTGTTGGGCTTTCCTTCAGAACACAAAAATCCACTTTTTACAAACCGGTATTATTCAGGAAGACTCGCCCTTCCTCTTCACTGATATTGAGATGATCTCATCCCTGAAGTATTATGCAGTCAAATGATGTTGCTTGGAGAAGGGTAACAACTCTGGAATATTTAGTACCTGTTGTTTTAGTGGGGCATTTCTACTGCTTTGAAGGTCAATTGAGTGTCTTGCAGAAATGTACTATTATAGAGAAGGAATTAATCACAATTCTGAAATTATAGGATGGGAAGAAAGTACCTAAGAACCTAGCCATTCTAGGCATCTTCCAATTATGTTGGGATAGCATCTCCCAACTGTGTGGCCAAATTTTAAAAATTCAAGGCGTTACAGACCTAATCTATCTCATGTTTGTAGAAAACTGGTATAGAAAAAATCATGAAAGACCTGATGAGACCTTCCTCTTTTCTAAACCTGATCTCTTCTACTCCTTATAATGTGAAAGATTTTTTTTTTAATAAATGGTACTGACAATCACATAATTTAATGGTTGCAATTGGGTAAAAGTTAGTTTATAAACCTGAAATAACTTTTTCTGGACTTCAGAGTATTCCTGTCAGCCAAGTGTGTGGAGTGCTAAAAATGAGCAAATCTCTTTTTGTTTAGTATTGATATATGTAGGATTTTGGTATCTGACACAGGATACATTCCTAACATACTTAGTTTTCATTGAAGACAACTTTGTGGTTCTAAGGATATGTAATCTCTTTCCAGCCACAATTCCCTCTAATCACACTTTTCAAAGAAAACAGCTGCAGTGCTGGCCGAAGAAGAACCTGGGTCTCAGAAGAGATTTTTATGAACAGAATCTTACCAATTATTAGCAATTTCAATGAAGCAAGCAGGAAAGATTCAGAGAATCTTTGCACAAGGACTCATAAATTTAAGGTCCAAATTTAGAAAAGGAGACAAGAAAGAAGGATGGGTATTCACAACATTGCCTAGCAATGATTGAGTAGGCTCACTAATTGTTAATAGACAAGGGTGGATGGCAGAGAAACCAGAAAATGATCGAGAGAGAGAATTGAAAGACTTACCTAGTTCAATTATGCTTCAACATTTTGTTGGTGTTAGCTGTTACAAAATAAATTGACTGCTTAAGAGTAAGCAAAAAAAGGGTAGGAACAATGTTTATATCCATTAAATTCTTATTCTGGGTGCCTGTAGTTTGGTTTTGAACTACACTTAAAACTGGGAGATACCGTGTGTCCCCGAAAATAAGACCCTGTCTTGTATTGTTTTGAACTCTGAAATAAGCCCTTGGCCTTATTTTCAGGGAGGTCTTATTATTTTGGGATGCGCAAAGCAAGATGGGGCTCTTCTTGCCATCTTACCTGATTTCCAGCTCTGCATTTAAATATTTTCGGGGAGGGCTTATTTTCAGGAGGAGGCTTATTTTAGCGCATGCGCTCAAAAGCCCGATTGGGCTTATTATTAGAGGATGTCTTATTTTCGGGGAAACAGGGTAGTTATAACCTAACAAAATATGTTTACAAAATATGGTACCTCTTTAGTTGCACTACTAAACCTACTTGAAAGTAAGTATTTTTAGATGAACTGACTGAATGCAGTCCAGGTATGACTGGTTTGCTTCTGCTCATATGCATCACAAAAGGGAAACTGCACCACCAAACACTCAAAAGAATCCACAGATTCTTTAACAATTTTTGAACTCAGAGGCATGAGGAGAGGAAGTGCACAAAAATTGCTTATTTTTCATTAAAACAAATACCCCAAACGATCCTTGAAAAACCTTGACTCCCCAATATTTATCCTATCAAACCCTACCACTGTTATTTTTCCTAACCTGGTTCATACCGTATGTCTACTCAAAAACAAGCACCACTGATTCCAGTGGGTTACTCAGGAAGGTCCTGTACAATATTGCCTTAAGCATGACTCCAAGCAGGCAAAATATTATTGGAACCACAAATTGTGGAATGGAGCAGAGACTAGTACAACCATTTTTTTAGTGACTGTTCAAAGTTATGATGGCACTGAAAAAAGTGACTTGTGACTGTCTTCACACATGGCAAATGTCACAGCAGTCACGTGATGACAATCCAGGTGCTTGGCAACTAGTTCATATTTACACAAGTTACAGCATCCTAGGGTCACATAATCGTTTGTGACTGTCCAAGCCAGCTTCCAAAAAGCAAACTCAATGGAGAAGCTGGCAGAGAAGATCACAACAGAGATTTGCTTAATGATCACAGCAAAACAGATCATATAATCAGGTTCAGTTATATGATGTCTTGTTTAATGATTGAACCACTTAACAATTTTTCCAGTCCCATTTTTGTCATAAGTTGAGGACTACCTGTAATTCTTCCCTATGCAAGCCTTTACCTAGTGGGTAAACTCTGGACACTGGAGAAACCCATGTTGAGAAGGGCTGTTCTTTGCCTACATGAAAGAGAGAACTAGGAGAAGCTACTGTAGAACTGCTGAATGATAGGACCTTGAGTTAGCCTTGTGTTTCTGTGTACTTAGCTTAATTATTAATCAACCCCTGAATGGAAGCAAACTCTGGAACAGAGTAAGGAGCAATTCAAGTGGGGATGCAGAAAATACGAAATGGAATCACAGTTTGTGGTGGGGACCCATTAAAACAAATGCAGTCCAGCTGAGGGTCAATTGGGCCCTGGTTGCATGTCTGTTTCTTTCTTAATAAACCAGCACAAAGGAAAAGGAGTGTCCAATCCCTGGGAGATTGTGGTCTGTAACAGATGAACTGCAGGTTGTGCTGCCAAAGTTGGAGACCACAGGCTTTTGGAAAAAAGGATTCTGGTGTTATATGTAGCCAACATGTCACAAGATGCACTGCTATGGAACTTTGAAAAACAAATGAAGTGACAGTTCTTGTTTTTTCACTGATGTGCTTAGTTTGTTACAGACTTTCCCATGCTAACCTTCTGGACAAAAATTGAATGAGAAACATTCTGAGATGAAAGGAGTTTCAGCTTGGACATAAGCTATTTACTCCAGCGTTAAACCACCTGCTGCCCTCCAAATATGAATTGTAATTCTTTTCTTCTCCAATCATCAAGAGCTATTTTGGCTAGAAATGTTGAGGTCTGTAATTCAGTGCTTCAGGTTGAAAGCATTTTTGCTCTGAAATCGGATGTTTCAAAATACACTCAAAATGTTTTCAAGCCTCAGACCTTGATTTAAAATGATCTGATCCTAATCTAAAGGTGAATTGGCTAAATGGAAAGTAATGTTTTTACCCTGAGATTTGAGAGAGCTTTGTTATTCCTGATCTATGGGCTTCTGAGCTTGAGAAGTAGCTGGAAGAAACCAATGCCAATTTAAAACATACAAATCAGGGGAGAAGGAGCTATGCTGGAAAAAGCTAACATGATAGGAAAGGCAGACTCAGGTTGGTTTGGGGGCTGACTTTATTGTGTTTTAGAAGAACAAGTTCCCCAGGTATCCTTTGAGAGGCCAGCCAGCATGGGGAGTTCTGGGAGTTGAAGTCCACAGGTCTTAAAGTTGCCAAAGTTGAACACCCCTGGTCTAGAATATCTCAATTTTCACTGAGTGTAAACAGATCAATTCAAAAATACTCTCATATTGTTTCAGCTGGCAACTATAGAAACAGACAGGCGGCTACAGTGCCAAAGATAGACACAATTACTTGTAATTTACAGCACACCTATTCATTACCTGAATGAGAATGAAATGAGGCTAATTATTCCCTGCCTGAAGCCAAGCTATGATTACAAATCCTTTGTAGCATGAACCATGCTGGATTTTAGCAGCAATTGTGCCTGATTTTTTTTTTCCATTGTGGAAGGAAGTTTAAATTTGTATGGTAAATTAATTACAGGTAATCCTCAAGTTACAACAGTTCACTTAGTAACCATTCAAAGTTGCAATGTACCTCTGCAAAGTACTTAAGACACAGTCCCGAGACTATGAATGTTGCAGCACCACGGCAGTTGTTCACCCTTACGAACAACCGCAGAGGCACTGCAACATTCGCTCTATCTATTCCACCCTTCTCGGGGCCGGGTCCCCCTGCTGGGTCTCCACAGGCATTGGGCCTGTGGAGGCTCACCTTCCAAAGATCTAGCAAGCCTTTGGTTTCTTTGCCTGCTTTGGTGCATTCGCAGAGAACCGAGGCCTAAAGTACCACGAGATCACACACAGATCAGTAGCTGATGTTGTGTGATTTTTAGGCCTCGGTTCTCTGCAAACAGAGGCCTGGATGAGATCCACAGCAAAAGGCTTTCCAAAGAGAGGGAAGGCTCCGTTTGCAAAGTCTTTTGCTGTGGATCTCATCCAGGCCTCCATTCACAGAGAACCAAGGCCTGAATGAGATCTGTAGCAAAAGGCTTTGCAAGACTTTGGGAGACTTTGAGGCAGCGAAATCGCACTGCCTCAAAGTGTCCCATCAGCTTACAAACACTTTGTCCCCTAAGACTAAAAACTTTTGGGGGAGACTCACCATTGCTGCCCGCTGCTTCTGGAGCAGCAGGCAACCTCGGTGAGTCAGCGAAGCCGAGTAAGGTGCACTTATCCCGCTCTCCCTCTGCTCTCACCAGTGGTGGTTGCCCCCGGTTCGCACCGGTTCTATAGAACCAGTAGTAAAACCAGCGGGAGGCTCCGCCCACCGACCCCTATGTCATCAGAACGCTTCTGCACATGTGCAGAAGAGTGTGCGCGCGAGCGAAGCAAGCATGCACATGCAGCCCCATTGCGAACCGGTAGTAAAGGTAAGTAGAACCCACCCCTGGCTCTCACCACTCCATTTCTGGAGCTCCAGGAGCAGGCAAAAAACCACAGCAGAGAGGAGACAGCTGGCTACATCTTCTCAAGGTAAGTGTGTCTCCACAGGCCCAGTGCCTATGAAGACCAGCACAGCAAGATGGGGCAGGGGAAGCAATTGTGAGGAGCAAGCAGTATTTCAGTGGGTCAGGGGACGCCTTGTGTGGTCGGAAGCACTAGCCCACCCCCATGGCCTTCCCCACCCTGAGATGCCTCATGCACTGACCCACTCATTCGATTATCGAATGTGTGGGTGAAAGCAGGGAGTTTTCACGTTCATTTTACATGATTCACTTCAACAAATTCTCAGGTTATGAATGTAATTGGCAGACTCCATTACATTCCTAACTCGAGGACTACCTGTATTTGTTTTTTTAATAAAAGGTTATTACAATATTATGAGCTTCCTTGGGAAGGCAGAGCACAGATATGTACTGCCTTTTTAAAGAATAATTTATTGTTTTACAGAACATACACATATAAACTAACAATCAGAAAGAAAGATGGAGAGGTGCAAAAAGATATATATACATATATACAGAAAACAAAAATATATACAAAGAACGTCTTGTTATTTATTTCTTTTTCTGAAGATGTAACAACTTCTTCCTACTGACTTCTGAATATCCTTGTCCATATGAAACTGCAACAAAGCCAGCATTTTGTTTTTAATTTGTCTGGTTCTACAGAACCTATGGGCTACCCACATGTTCT